TATCCATCTGATCCTACTCCTACTTATTCTCACTGATATATTCCTCTACCCCTTGTTATTGATATCTTGTTTCGTCCGATCAGCTGTCATGTCTGCTGCTGCTGCCTTCGATCCAAGAATCATGGCCCTGACGAGCAAGACACCTCATTAGAGGTTGACTGCACGGCTGAGGTGCAAGCCAGTCTAGGTGACTCGGCCTGGCGGCATAAGCCGCATGTTGGCTGCTGCATCTGCAAGGGGCATAACTGTGATCTGGCTGCTTTCATTGAAATATCTGGTATCCAATCCAATCAAATTGTTTACTGGTCTTCGGAAAATGAGGTATGTTTCTTCGCTCCTTTATTCACCTACGCATAAATCAGTGTGTGCTTAAGTCTCCCATTATTTGACAATTCCCGAGGAAAGTTAAAATTTATTGTGTTAGCAAACTCTTATCTTGGGACAAACATCATCTTTGTTTTAGATTTACATTTGTAAAGATCTATCTCCATACTTTATTTTAACAAATTCATTGACTGTAACCTATTTTAACTGCAAAAAACGAAGCTACTCAAGTTAATGTCATATTTGGTATATTTCATACCTTATTACTTTAGCACCCATTAGACGATGGGTTTATAACACTCATATTTATTTATTCTTTGGCATCATTTCTGCAGCTCTTGTGTTAAAGCGTGTATACAGTTGAGCTTATTTTCGTTTCGAGCGAAAGTGTTTGGTGAAGAGATTCGAGGGTCGGTCCCACAAGAAGACGACAGCGGATTCCTCTTGACCGGCTGTCGATTGGCTTTACTTTTTGACGCTATTTTCGAAGTAATCTCCTTTGATGCTGGTGCTAAGCTTGCTTCCGTCATATGAAGGACGCCATCAGAGCAGGACATCATCCTTACAGCCATATTCAAGCTAACGAGTCAAGAAAATTTAACAATAAGAATGTTCGAGTAAAGACAATTGACAACTGTTTAAGAGGAATCCGCCATCATATTCTGGTGGGACCGATCTTCGAATCTCTTCATTTTCACTCGAAAAGGAAGTTAGCTTAACAATTATGAAACAAGAGCTTCCTCCAAACCCAACATTTCTTCGTTTATACAGTTCCTCAAAGTGGCTTTCTGGAACACATTTACTTGAAATTCCCTCGATCAATGTTTATTCATTTTCCAGGTTAATCCTATTAGTAAATAAATAAATATGTACTCACGTATGATCATTTTTACTTTCGATTGTATTAACATTTATTTTTAACGCTTTTTTATTTTTTTACTTGGTTTTATATAATCTGTTTTGGTTCATTTTATGAATTCATCACCTATTATTTTGTAGATGAGAGCTAATCATGAATGACTCGAATGATGCTTGCCTAGTAAAGACAGATATACCAAGTTCCATGAAATAAAGAGGATAGAGATTGCAAACATTATGTCAAAACCTATTAACTTCTTTATCCACGTTCATCTAGTCATTGCATTTTCGCATAGTCATCACTTTTGGTTTGTTCATTTTGCGAAAACAAGGTCAAACAACTTTTATACAACAAAAGAAGACTGCAACCATACATCTTAGTCTTCATACCTTCGATTATTCTTTTTTGTCCACAGTCTTTGCTGCCCGCTTTTGGCGTTGGTATGACGAATTCCTAAACCAATTCAGGGGATAATACTCTTGATCATTCTATAATACTGTTAGTCTATTTGGATATGAGACAGGTTACATTTCACGTTAGTATGCCCATAGCAAATAACACCACAGTGGTGCGCAGAATATCTATGTATAGGAACTGACAATAGAATTTATCGGTTAAAAAATGTAGTTGACAGGCCTTTTCACAAAGATGAGGTAATCCGTTAGATGGAACGTACTTATAAGAGCTCTGTGGATTTATTCAGATTTTCGCTACCTAGCCGATTTAAATAAAAATCTATGTATGCAGAGCCTAGGAGGACTTAATACTCGAGTAACTCCTACCGAATTTTTCTACGAATTCCTAATAATTGCTTCCAATTCGATGTCCTATCTATCACAATTATACAATTTATTCAATTCCTTTTCTTAGTTTGAAAGTTGCATCAATCGCGTAGACAATAGTTCAATTATACCACTCTATAGAATATGTTATATCGTTTTTCTGGGCCTGTTAGTTAGGCTCTAATATTTTTAATGGAACTACTTTGAGCCATGTTGGATGTTAACAAGTGACATATATAAATGTCAATACTTCTAAACGGTGCTAAAATATTTTCTCGAATATGCATAGGTCAAATACCTGCTTGCTTTTAATTTATTATTGTACATTTGTTAAACTTCTTTTTTCCCATTTAGGTTTTTCTTTCTCCATTCGCTGTGCTGGTGGAAGATGATATCCGCTGCATAGTTATAGCGATTAGAGGGACACTGTCCCTAAGCGACGCGCTGGTCGACATGATGGTCGATGCCGTCTGCCTGGACTCTGAAGTGATTTCTGGCTTTGTTTGTGCAGGTATCCTCCTGATGTAGTTAAAGAATGCTTTACTTCTAGACTATGAATCAGATTGGCCTTGTTCGACTTTTTCTTTAAATTTTAGTCAAATTAAAGTATTTTATCAATGCTTCTTGATTAAATATGCTTCCAACTTTATTTCGCATCTCAAAGGTATTATATGTAAAACACTTGCTGGGAATGATTTAATTCTTTTGAAGTTCCACATTGGATTTAACTAGCCGATTCCTTTGCAAAGTGATACTGGAATAGGTTATATTGTCATCTTAATATCAAGAACAAGAGTAATATTCCAATCTACTTAAGCTGATGATTAAGGTAGGTTTGAAAAAATTTGAAATGGTTCGAAATTGCCAATTTAGTTCTAGCAGCACTACTACTTGTAGTTTTCATTCATAATTTTTACAACATTGCATTATAGTATTGAGAGCTTAGTTCTCGTAGCTCGCTTGAGTTGATCTTACTGATCGGTAGTTGAGTTTTTTAACAATGAGATGAGTATGTCTCATTGTGCCTTTAAGGCTCACTAATCTTTGCTTCACAAGAGGCTTTCTCATCCAGAGTGAATGGTAGTTCTGGCCTTGCTAGATCTCATCAACACTCATAACTGGATTCGAAACTGATAGCTCGGAGACTCTAACCTTTTAATATACAAGTACGGGCGCTAAAAAATTTCGTCGATTTCGATGTAATGTTTGCTTAATCGGCAATTCCAAAAGTTGTTATCATCGAGGATGGATTTGGCATGTAAAAAGTCCGCGCACCGACACTGAAAATTAGTATAGCTACTATAGCAGAGGAATCCGCCGTCCTCTTTTGGTGGGATCGACTTTCGAATCTCTTCACCAAACGCTTTCACTCGAAATAGAAGTAAGCTCAACAATTATGAAACAATACTTTTCTTCACAAATATATAATGCCTGAATCCTCTAGCATAATAGTCATTTTAGATTTCGATATCTGATAATTGACTTGATACATTTACAGACTTTTCACCTGCATCCTTGGTGCGAAGCCTCACCCTTAGCACCAATTTGCAACTAATCATAGGCAATCTTCTTGCCTTATTTTCTGTTCAACCGTTTTGGTGTCTCCCTTTCCCCTTGTCCTAGCTCTCATCGCTCTACCATATCCCTCAGTCCCACTTTATATGGCAATTTTATCTTTCCACACCTTTTGGTATCTGTTTGTTCCTAAGACTGCTACTTCAAGTGAATTTAATGATGCGTATTCACCTCTACCACCGATTTCATATGCCGTTCCTAGGGCCTTGCGAATCCAATCGTTATTTCCACTTCACCCAACTTGTTAGCTGTTCCCTTTAGCACTTAAAAATCACCGTCTTATCCAACTAGTTGTCTGTGATTCTTTAATTCAGGCCACAATTTTTGTAAAATTCTAGGACTTATTTCCTTGAGTAGCCCCAAAAATATGTTCGTTAGCCTTAGTAAGAACTATGCTTAAAGCGTGACCTTCATTTCTTTAGCCCTTCTAAAGTCCTGTAAGTTTCAGAAAACCTGTCCTGGCTATCCTCTTCCTCATCTCCATCCTATTCTTTCACATTTCCTGGGCCCTTTTGTTTGGCTTTCTCTGGAATTTCTAGCATGAAGATCTATTACTCCCACCTAATCTTTAGGTTTCATTTACTTCAACGTGCTCATATTGACTACTTATTATTTTTGCCAGACATTTAGTCAACCATTTATTGGAGCGCACATGCATACACACTTATCCCATGCACTGGGGGCTAAATGTATTTTGTCCCCAACCTTAACCACAACACCAAAGTGAATTTTAAGTATATTTAGATTCTGAATTTGTATCCCTAATGGTAAATTTTTCAGACGCTTGTGCTTCCGTGGGCGTACCTCGAAAACGTTATGAAGTTGGTCCTATATGTAACTCTTTATACTGCTTTCGTATTCTCGAGACCTCCATTTGTCCCTCAAGATTATCTTTCTGGTGATGCCTCTTCCCATCGTTCGAGTAATTATCCAGGCGCCTCTTTTTCACTGTTGCTGAATTCAGTCTCTCCAAGTTTGAATACTAAGCGAAATTTCCCCTTAGTCTCTCCTCTTCCAATCTTCTGCTCATCAGGTTCCTTGCCCAAGGATGTCCACAGGTTCCCTGATGTTACGTTTATTTATATTTTCTGTTAGTTACTTTGTCTAATTCTTCTTTTCACAACTCACTCTTTGTTGGTCTTAAGCTCCTTATGATCATGCTCATCACTACTCCAATTATGTCACTGCGCTTATAGTGATATTGAAAATTGAATATTAGTCCGGTGTGGGATTTTTTCGGACTAATCGTCCCTTAGGGTTCTCATTCGAGCGAATGGCCTCTAGATTCGAGAGAAGTAGTATATCACCCTCCAATTTCACTTTTATGCTTGCACACTTTTGCATTTTACACTTGATTCTACTCTCTAGAGTTTCATTCATCTACATGTAAGTCTAGGCATGTCACTACACGCATAAAGTGGATATCCAAATCGTAAGCTGCTTCATTAAACTACACGTAGATTCATCGGGTTCACAGGACTTCTTGCATAAAGTTATTCATAACTCCAATGAAATATCCCTTCAGCCATAAATCTCTTCTACGTATTTCCTTCAACTCAAATAAAAGATTCAATTATTTATATTTATTAAAAGATCCCTATGAACCAATTTTTTTATATATACATTCTCATCTTTACTTTTTCATATTAATTTTCTCGTTAACTTCCAGTTTATTCGCATTTACATTTAAAACAATTTTAAATATATACAAATTAACGGGTTTCGGATGACCCTTCTCACATATAATTGCTGAGCTAACGATTAGCTCATGCTAAAACATGTAGTTAAAAAAATATTGGATTGATTTCACTTTGGTCCGTTGTTATTTGGAATGACTCTGGTCTCGAGACAAAACCCCCGGTTAATGCTAGAAAATGCTAATATCCCGTCCTTCATTTCTCCTGACACAGATATCATCAGAGCTGGATCCCATCCCTACAGCAGATTTTTTTATAATTCTTTCCTTCTAAATAACAATATATACCTCAAATATCCACACTCCTACCTACCTACTTCTCACTTTATCCACGTCCAGGTGTCTGCGAAAACATCGCTCATGGTGGTATAACTCGAGGTGCAAGACGTATCTGCGCCAAGTTAGAGGAATTGCATCTGATCGAGCTTGCGCAAAAATTGCGGCCAGACTACCCAATCGTGGTGACAGGCCATAGTTTGGGCGCCGGTATCGCCACTATTCTCTCAATCTTGCTGCGTTCCAAGTATCCGAATCTAACCTGCTTGGCCTTTAGCCCCCCTCTTTCTTTAGTCAAGTAAGTAGAGACGATCCATTCTGGTGTTTGCATTTTCTTCCTTAGTTAGTTATTTCTTGATTTCTCCTGGTTCTTTTAGCCTTCCGTTTTTTTAGTTATTACAAAATTACTTGAAAGGGAAATTATGCTTTAATTCCTACGTTTTTTCCTTAGGAATTGTCACCGTTAACATATTCTTGGATTTTTGGACGTTTTTTGCTTCGGTAGACATACTCAGATGTTATAATACCTACTTTTCTGCATGAAAGGCTCTAAATAACTGATCATTTTAAATGAAAATTTGCTTGAAAAAACACGATTAAGGTTGATGCATGAAAGGAGAGCGGATGTGGTCATAATTCTTCCTTATCTAGATAAACTAGCATACTATCCTGCAGTGCTGGGACTTGTTTTAGGTTAGTGGATTTATGTGCGTTGTTTGTATAAACTAACTAACTCGTGAATATTGTATACGCACACATCTACAAACCAGCTTTAGTATTGCAGGATCGCACTCTAGTTTATTTACTTTATTAACATTCAATTAATATTTTATAATTAATGTGATGGATGAACCTGAAAATCACTGCACATTTTCTCAAATTGAAGCTTTTACAATATTTTGCGGCGCACAGTTTGGGAATCACTGCTTTAATAGATTGATGCTCGAGTGTCCTTCAGTTCGTTTGAAGAGGCGAGTGGAAGAGATTCGTAAGTTGACATCACCGGAAACTGTAGAGGGATGGCTTTGGAGTTGTGATTGTAGATTTGTGCTAATAGGCCGTCGGCACATCGGCCTGAGACTCCGATGAATCCATGTTGAGCTTTTGTCCGTCATGTGACGGACATCGTCAGAGCAGTACACCATGCTTAACGATAATTTACCAAGAACACAAAGGCTATAAAGTAGCCTGCTTCTAACCCACCTACTTACACATTCCAATTTAGTCCAATTAGGCATCTCATTTTTTGGCTGGATATCTTATGCTTTACCTAAAAGTTAGGTGGCTGTGAATATGATATGTGAAGTGGCTGCAGCTTAGAGAGAGAGGGGGGAGTAACGAGAAGTACTACCCAGCAAGAGGAGGAGGCTTGATTAGAGTCAAATCTGGTTTTGCTCATTTCAAGAGCAATTCACTCACACAACACGTGTGCAATTGGACGCAATCACATGCGGTAACATTGCAGGATCAAAGGCATACGTGTTTTAGAGGCGGATGCAGCTGTTCGGTTTCAATTGTACTCAATACACGCTTCATCCGCAGCCACTTAACTTATCAGTAAATATGGAGGCAAAGCATAGGACATCCAACCAAAACATGAGATGCATAAATAGACCAAATTGGAATTTAAGAAGGAAGTAGGTTTGAAGCCGGAAACTCTTCTTGCCCTCGTATTTTTGGAGAATTATCTTAAAGTATGGTGTCCTGCTCTGACGTTGTCCCTCACATGACGGACGAGATTTCAGAAAGGATTCATTGGGGTCACATTGCAAATAATTTAATATTGTAGCGTTGAAGTACCTTAAATATTTATATACAACTCCCAACAGAATAGGAGTCGACTCTTTAATCGAACCCATATTGTGCTGATAATGAGGACGCTTGACATCGAGCCTCACAAACATTCGTTTAGCCTGGGAATGTCAAAGATGTTAATCGAACTCAAATGGGAGAGGAAATCAATCAAAGAAAAGCAATTTTATTATTTACTTGAAGATATGAAGACCAAGATGTTGTGGCCTCTGGTATGGTCGCAGTCTCCTTTCGATTTATAGA